TTTTTTGGCAGCAGCCAGGCTCACGATTGCGGCAAATTGGAAATCTCCATCTCCTCCTACTATGACATCCTGGTATGACAAGATTTGGGACCAGTTTGTGATGAGTAAAATTTCTAATATAGTAGATCGAATACAAAACAGCTCCAGTAAAACTTATGAAAAATGTGTACGTACCTGGTTCCCAGTACTTGACTTCATGACAGAACACAACGTGCTGCCCTCTCGGATGAGCTATCACACATGGCTTCACTTTTGACTCCACTCTGACCTCCGCCCTGCTGCCGAGACTCCTCTTGTTGTATAGAGTAGCAGACTCCCAAACTTGTGGTGTTTTAAACAAAGTAGAATTTTTGCTCACAAGACTCCACAGCTTAGAGGGAGCATTGGCCCTGACCATAGATACTTCTAGGGCTCCAGTAAGGTCAGGAGGGCTTAAAGAAACGACAACTTGTTCATGGTTCTATAAAGTCAGACTTTTTCTTGAGTTGCCAGCTGCCTAGCTTCAGATGGTGGGGGAACCGAAGGAAAGATACCCTTTGTCCTTGATATCTATATTCTTCTAAACAAAGAACATAAGAACATAAGAGAAGCCAATGTTGGATCAGGCCAATGGCTCACCTAGCCCAACACTCTGTCGCACAGTGGCCAAAAATACCAGGTGCCATCAGGAGGTCCAGCAGTGGGGCCAGGACTGTAGAAGCCCTCCCACTGTTGACCCCCCCCCAAGCACCAAAAATACAGAGCATCACTTGCCCTGGAGTCCCTATCTATACCTTGTGGCTAATAGCCACTGATGGACCTCTGCTTTGAGTCCACTGGCACCTTTACGGCCAATAAAGATTTATTCTGGGTGCAAGATTTTGTGCAGGCACACAAAAGCTTATACTCAGAATAAAACTTTGTTTGGTCTTAAAGGTGCTGCTGGACTCAAACTTTGTTCTGCTGCTTCAGACCAACATGACTACCTACCTTGATCTAAGTTCTTCAAAGTTTCTGATTTTTTTCCCTTATGATTCTTTCCACTGAGTCCTCTGATCTTCTAGCCATCACATGTTGTAGAGATTTTAAAATATTAATTATTCTTTAATGTGATTTTCATTGGGTGACCTTCACGTCTGATATTATGTAGGGGAAAGGAAAATCTCCATCCATTGTCACTAAGCATTCATGATTCTAAAGATTTCTGTCCTCTTTCCGTTCCCCGCTCACCTCTGGCTATGCCTGAATTTTACACTGGCAAAAGGTTGTGAAAAGCAAATGTTCAGCAGAGGTGTTACTCCTTGCAAAGATGTTCCTCCCAATCTTTCCCTTCTATGGTGTATATCATTCAGGTGCTATATTAAGGTACTCGGGCTTAACCCAGACAGAAAGATAGTCTAGAAAATTTATATTTGTTCTTCTCTGCAGACAGGGAGCTGAGAAATTCCCTTGAGAAGGGCTAAATATAAAATACATTTACTAATCATCTTTATGGAAGCCATGGGCGTTATACTGCTATATAAGTGATATTACGTTTGACGTATATACATGTCCTAGAAGTAAGTATGTCAAGTATCAAGCTGTTTGTTCCTGCGTACCATGAAGAAGGTGTCATGAAGTAGGAAGATCTAATGGCCTCTCTCTCTCTCTCTCTCTCTCTCTCTCTCTCTCTCTCTCTCTCTCTCTCTTAGCAGCTTCCAAAAGAGCTGCCTGTGAGTATTTTGACTCCGCTATTTGCAGAACAATGTTGAATAATGTGCCCAGTGGGGCCTAGGCTTTCCTCCTTAGATTTTGCCCATCATCTTTTCTTCTTGTCCTTGGGAATCAGATTACTGCTGCTGCCAGATCGGGTGCTAATTGCCCGAAGTGGGAATATACAGATGCTCTATGGGCACGTGTACATTTCCAAAGGACAGAAAAGTAGTCAGATGGTGCTTTCTGTATCAATTGCTCTCCAAACTAGAGAAAGCTTCATCTGCTAAATCCCATTGTTACTGGCTGCACTTATGAAACACAGGAAGAGCCCTATCACAGAATCAATCTTTGGGTTTTTTTGTTAATCAAAGCATTAAGATTCACCATGTCTACACACCAGTTTTGGCCACTGACCAAAATTGTCCCCTTACCATATGAGGTACATTTCTCAGATGGAGCATTTCTACTTTTCATATGGTACACTGAATGAAATCAAATTAAAGAAAGTCCAGAAAATTAACGTTGGTTTTTCTCTGCAGACAGGAAGCTGAGAAATTCTGTGAGAAGGGCTAAATATATATTACATTTACTAATCATCTTTCTGGAAGCCATGAGAAATATACTGCTATATAAGTGATATTAAGTTTGAAGTATAGACATGTCCTAGAAGTAAGTATGTCAAGAATCAGGCTGTTTGTTCCTGCATACCATGAGGGAGAAATGAAGATTTTCAAGAGGTGTCATCAAGTATGAAGATCTAATGGCTTATCTCTCTCTCTCTTTCTTTCTTAGCAGCTTCCAAAAGAGCAGCCTGTGAGTATCTTGACTCCGCTATTTGCAGAATGATTTCGAATAATCTGCCCAGTGGGGCCTAGGCTTTCCTCCTTAGGTTTTGCCCATCATCTCTTCTTCTTGTCCTTGAGAATCAGATCATGGCTGCTGCCAGATTGGGTGCTAATTGCATGGAGGGGGAATATGCAGATACTCCCTGGACATGTGTACATTTCCAAAGGAGTCTTTCAGATTTAACTGACCCTGAGACACAGGAAAGTAGTCAGATGGTGCTTTCTGTTATCAATTGCTCTCCAAACTAAAGAAAGCTTCATCATCTGAATCCCATTGTAACTGGCTGCACTTATGAAACACAGGAAGAGCCCTATCACAGATTTCAATCTTTTTTGTAACTAGTTGCAGATACAAAACACAGGAAGAGCCCTATCACAGAATCGATCATTTTTATATAATCAAAGCACTAAGATTCACCATGCATACACAGCAGTTTTGACCACTGACCAAAACTGTCTCCTTATCATGTGAAGTGCATTTCTCAGAATGGAGCATTTCTACTTTCCATATGCTACACTGAATGAAATCAAATTAAAGATAGTCTAGAAAATTTATATTTGTTCTTCTCTGCAGACAGGGAGCTGAGAAATTCTGTGAGAAGGGCTAAATATATAATATATTTACTAATTATCTTTATGGAAGCCATGGGCGTTATACTGCTATATAAGTGATATTAAGTTTGACTTATAGACATGTCCTTAAACTAAGTATGTCAAGAATCAGGCTGTTTGTTCCTGCATACCATGAAGGAGAAATGAAGATTTTCAAGAGGTGTCATCAAATATGAAGATCTAATGGCTTCTCTCTCTCTCCCCCCCCCCTCTCAGGAGCATCCAAAAGAGCTGCCTGTGAGTATTTTGACTCCACTATTTGCAGAACGATGTTGAATAATGTGCCCAGTGGGGCCTAGGCTTTCCTCCTTAGATTTTGCTCATCATCTTTTCTTCTTGTCCTTGGGAATCAACGACAAGATCGGGTGCTAATTTCCCAAAGTGGGAATATGCAGATGCTCTATGGGCACATGTACATTTCCAAAGGACAGAAAAGTAGTCAGATGGTGCTTTCTGTATCAATTGCTCTCTGAAATAGAGAAAGCTTCATCAGCTAAATCCCATTGTAACTGGCTGCACCTATGAAACACAGGAAGAGCCCTATCACAGAATCAAATCTTTTTTGTAACTAGTTGCAGATACAAAACACAGGAAGAGCCCTATCACAGAATCGATCATTTTTATATAATCAAAGCACTAAGATTCACCATGCATACACAGCAGTTTTGACCACTGACCAAAACTGTCTCCTTATCATGTGAAGTGCATTTCTCAGAATGGAGCATTTCTACTTTCCATATGCTACACTGAATGAAATCAAATTAAAGATAGTCCAGAAAATTAACGTTGGTTCTTCACTGCAGACAGGGAACTGAGAAATTCCCTTGAGAAGGGCTAAATATAAAATACATTTACTAATCATCTTTATGGAAGCCATGAGAAATATACTGCTATATAAGGGATATTAAGTTTGAAGTATAGACATGTCCTAGAAGTAAGTATGTCAAGATTCAGGCTGTTTGTTCTTGCGTACCATGACGGAGAAATGAAGATTTTCAAGAGGTGTCATGAAGTAGGAAGATCTAATGGCCTCTCTCTCTCTCTCTCCCTCTCTCTCAGGAGCTTCCAAAAGAGATGCCTGTGAGTAGTTTGACTCTGCTATTTGCAGAACGATGTTGAATAATGTGCCCAGTGGGGCCTAGGCTTTCCTCCTTAGATTTTGTCCATCATCTTTTCTTCTTCTCTTTGGGAATCAGATTACGGCTGCCACCAGATCAGGTGCTAATTGCGAAAGTGGGAATATGCAGATACTCTGTGGGCACCTGTACATTTCCAAAGGAGTCTTTCAGATTTAACTGCACCCTGAGACACAGAAAAGTAGTCGGTGCTTTCTGTATCAATTGCTCTCCCAACTAGAGAAAGCTTAATCAGCTAAATCCCATTGTAACTGGCTGCATTTATGAAACACAGGAAGAGCCCTATCACAGACTCAATCTTTGTTTTTTGTTAATCAAAGTATTACGATTCCCCATGTATACACACCAGTTTTGGCCACTGACCAAAATTGTCCCCTTACCATATGAAGTACATTTCTCAGATGGAGCATTTCTACCTTCCATATGATACACTGAATGAAATCAAATTAAAGATAGTCCAGAAAATTAATGTTGGTTATTCTCTTCAGACAGGGAACTGAGAAATTCTCTTGAGAAGGGCTAAATATAAAATATACTTACTTGTCATCTTTATGGAAGCCATGAAAAATATATTGCTATATAAGGTATATTAAGTTTGAGGTATAGACATGTCCTAGAAGTAAGTATGTCAAGTATCAAGCTGTTTGTTCCTGCGTACCATGAAGAAGGTGTCATGAAGTAGGAAGATCTAATGGCCTCTCTCTCTCTCTCTCTCTCTCTCTCTCTCTCTCAGGAGCTTCCAAAACAGCTCCCTGTGAGTATTTTGATTCCACTATTTGCAGAACAATGTTGAATGATGTGCCCAGTGGGGCCTAGGCTTTCCTCCTTAGATTTTGCCCATCATCTTTTCTTCTTCTCTTTGGGAATCAGATTATGGCTGCCACCAGATCAGGTGCTAATTGCCCAAAGTGGGAATATGCAGATGCTCTGTGGGCACCTGTACATTTCCAAAGGAGTCTTTCAGATTTAACTGCACCCTGAGACACAGAAAAGTAGTCAGATGGTGCTTTCTGTATCAATTGCTCTCCAAACTAAAGAAAGCTTCATCATCTGAATCCCATTGTAACTGGCTGCACTTATGAAACACAGGAAGAACCCTATCACAGACTCAATCTTTTTTTTTTTGTATAATCAAAGCACTAAGATTCACCATGAATACAGACTAGTTTTGGCCACTGACCAAAATTGTCCCCTTACCATATGAAGTACATTTCTCAGATGGAGCATTTCTACTTTCCATACGCTACACTGAATGAAATCAAATTAAAGATAGTCCAGAAAATTAACGTTGGTCCTCCTTGCAGACAGCGAGCTGAGAAATTCTGTGAGAAGGGCTAAATATAAAATACATTTACTAATCATCTTTCTGGAAGCCATAAGTCTAAAAATATGAAGAGTAATGTTTTTGAAGTTCAATGGATTAAAACTTTGTCAAGTGTCAAGATTGTGAAGCTCTGTTGCTGATTTAGTGGAGGGGAGGATGGGGTTTTTTCTCTCCGTCTCTCAAACAGGAAGTGAAAATGACCCAGAAGCCAGTAAAGCTGAGTAGCCCCCCTCCTGTGTTACAAGGCAGAAGGCAGGGCCACTCATCTTAGCTGGGACAATAATGGGCATTAGCTCACCAACCACATCATTATCCAAAGAAACCGGTGCAGGAAGAGACAGTGATGACCTGACACAAACTGCCTAGCTGATGAGAGATCTGGGGCAAGTGACCTCTGAGGCTTCGATAGGGGCTTTGCTCTGCATACCCCTGGCCACCACTGGCCCTCTATGGCCAATCTACTCCTGCTTCTGTCCACTTGCTTTATACAGGGTGGAGAGGAGGGGCTATACTCCCTCCTCAAGTGATATCCTAATTTTAGGCTTTCCCCTCTGTTCCATAAGGAAATTGAATGAGGCAAGAGTTTAAAGTTGGAGAAATTTTTTTGGGGGGGGGAACAGCTGCTCCCATCACTGTCCCTTGAAATCTGAACTCCTACCTTCAACATTTTGAAAGCCTGATATCTCTTGGATTCTGGTGCACAAAGCAGCTGCCCCATTTTGACTCTTGGGCTTATCAAATTGGGGGTAGTTCTTTTCCCTTTGAAGTGTTTAAGTGAATTAAATAGCCATGTATGAAAGTACTTGGCCATAACCCAGGCTGATAGCCCTGTATATTACTGTGGGGAAAGCCCCTTTTTGTCAACATGTAAGTTACCAAAATATAAGAAGGCTATTTTCTTTTAACTTTACGTTGTTGATGGCTTGACTGACTAATTAAGGCTCCAAGTGAAAGCTTGAACAAAGAATGCGTACAGGCCTTAGAATGAGTGATTCAAACCCCCACCCCCATTGGCCTTAGGGTACAAGGCTATATCCAGATCTGCTTTCCTTCTAAAATTATTGCTCTTGGTTAAAATTCATTACCAACAAATCTGGTATTACTTTGGGAAATGGATAATGGAGACCCTGAACTAAAACAAAAATCAGTCTTAGGGTGATTCCACACTAGACCTTGAATCCTGGTTCAACCCTGTCCCTGAATTTACATTGTACACTACACTCGAGTTCACCCCTGTAATTATCTCGGAGTATTTTTTTGTTTCCACATTACATTGAAGTTACCCTGGTTCTGCCCCATACTTGTCCCAGGATAAACAGATGCTGTTACAACGAGGGATAAATGCAAGATATTGTTACGAGTTGAACTTTGATAAAACCAGGGATGAGATCCAAGTGTGGATAAGACTTTAGACATTATAGTTTCCACCTTCAGAAAGAACGCTTCTCTGGAAATCTATCAAAGTTTGTTCATAAGCTGAAGGACAATATCCGAGTTCAGTGGGACCTTTAAGACCAACAAAGTTGAATTACGAGTATAAACTAATCTATCTTCATAAGTCGTGGTTGCCACGCTGTATGGCTAACTAAGGCAAAACATGAGTGTTGTGGCTCCCTCCCCCGTTCTTCCTCATTTAGCTATAGTCAGGATGGTGAGGGTATGGTACTAGCACAGTGTTAATACTTGGAAAAGAACACCTAGATTCAAGTCTAGTAGCACCTTAGAGACCAACAAGATTTTCAGAGTATGAGCGTTTGAGTCCAAGCTCCGTCCATCAGCCAGGTGCTACTGGAATGTGGCTGTTCTACTGCAAGCCAACATGGCTACCCTAGAAACTTTCAAAAGAGTACAGGTTGCTTGAGGAATGAAAGGAATACTTGCCTACTGATTTTCAACTTTTTAAGTCCCAAATTTCATCCTGTCCCACATATCTATCCTCAAAGAAGAGATGTACGTGTACCTTATCTATGTTATGACCCTTCACTGGATCAACATGTCCAATACCTGCATAAAGGAGTTCTTCATGATCAAAGCCGTGTCTCCCTGGCTACACTTCCATGAGGGTATTAAGTACTGTTTTCTTTGAATTTATTTAATGATATAGATTATGACAAAATGGCTTTCTTTCTTTTTTAGGTGTTTGGCTAGTCAAAAGCCATCACAAAAATGGGTGAGTAGTGCATTCTATGTCTATTACTTTAGACTGCAAGTTTGTATACAGATAGGAAATTTGAGTGACAACTCTGGAATTCTGCATATTACAATTCTAGTCATAGTAGAGATCCTCAGAGTGGCTAATGTGGAATAAATACATGGATTCTAGTGGTGTTACATTTCTTTAGCCACTGCGTAGGCAAAAATGTGAATACAAGTGTTTGACAAAAAGGTGTTTGTTAGTTACGCCGGGATCCTCTTTCATCTTCATTGTGAAGACCATCAGAGAAATTAGCTGCAGGAAGAAAATCCTGCTCCTCGTGGAATCAGGGAGAGGTTGGGTTAACCTCTTCCTCCTTAATGTCCTTTAGCTTGTTCTACCTCCCATTTGAGGGGATGATGGAGATTCTCTACTTTGTTCAAAATGAATATGATATTCTTGGTGATGATTCTGCAGTTCAGTCTCAACCGCAACACACAATTATGCATATGGGAATGGGCAGGATATAAATCCAATAAATAAATAAATTTCTCATTACACCAAATATATTTAAAAGAGTTACAAATGAAGTGTAATGGTGTATCGAATAGGGTAATTAAGCAGTGCAAGTTATGGTAGCATATCCATTTCCAAGTCTTTTTCTGTTTTTCTTAGCATTCAAGCTACAACTTATCCTACATTGGTCTGGTGTACACAGTGTTCAAGGAGACTCAGAACCCTTGGGAGGAAAAATATATGTAAATCTGTACAGTGATGCTGAACATTACTAAGAAAACCTGCATTCTAGTAAACCATCAGTGGGTGTTCTCTGTATGCAGAGACTAGTCATACACATAAGAGTTAAACCTCACCCTGATATTCTGTGGTTGACTCCAGTCTCCCATGGCAGCCATTTTGTACTTGGTTCCACCTCCCATTTTGTGGTTGACTTCACCTCTGTGGCAGCCATTTTGTGGTTGGCTGCACTTCCTGTGACAGCCATTTTGTGGTCACATCCACCTCCCTGTGTCAAAATTCCAAAGGTACCTACAGGTTTAAAAAAATTGGGGACCCTGCCTCTAGGTCATCTCCAAAGCATGGCACTCCTGTTCTCATCTATCAGTACATTCAAAGAATACATAATGGATTGGTTGAACTGTAGGTGGGTTACTAAAGGTCATTCCTCCAATTCATCACTACTGGCCATCTGCAACCATATTTAGCATCATTCCACTCTGTCATCCTTTGCAGAAAAAACACACAGGAGTGGCAACCAGTGTTCCCTCTAAGCTGAGTTAGTGTGAGCTAGCTCACAGAATTTTAGCCTCCAGCTCACACATTTCTGTCTTGGCTCAGGGAGGAGGGCTCCAGAGCAAGCTAATTGATGCAGGAGCCGAATCACTCGCTCACAACTTTAATGCCAGCGGCTCACAAAGGAGAATTTTTGCTCACAAGACTCCACAGCTTAGAGGGAACATTGGTGGCAACTCCCCTGAAATAACTCCAAAACAAATGAATGACAAAGGACAGCTTTCCATTTCAGACCTGACCAACATCCACTCCAGGGCCATCTAACTAACCAACCTGGGGGTAGGTCCTGGGGCTCAAGCCCATGAAAACATGAACCCACCAATCAAGAGGTGTTAGTATATCAAAGACCTAGTTGTTCTCCCTGTTGGTTGTAAAGCATGCTCTCTATCTAGAGGTGAGCACCTTTCCCGGTCACAGAGATGTCAATATTCCGTTGGATCACCGTAACTGTCACAACATCTCTTCCTCTCCCAGTAGCCTATGGGGGAAAAGAAAGTTTTAGGGCAGTGGTGGTAATAGGGGCTAGACTTCAGGACAAAAGTATAAAGCCTTGTATGATGAGCTCAGCAGGGGGGAAAGAAGGCCATAGCTTTGCACTGCAAGTTTAAATTTGAATTTTAAGGGCGGCCCTCATAAAACCATTAAACCTGGAGAATTAAAATTACCAGACTGCACCAACAGTTTATGGCTCTACATTGACTACAATGAAGCTAATCAAAAGGCTGTGCCAGCTCATTGACTTCTCCCCTGTATCTAAGATGTGTTACTTGGACAGGGAGAAAAGTCATTGCTTTCTGTACTGGGTTGGATCCTGAACCAATGGCTTGGATCAATGTAAGGCAGCTTCAGTGGCAGGGAGGAAGTTCCAGAAACTTGCGTATACAGCTTGCTGATTCATAATTACAGATTTGCAACAGAACAAGTATTTGACAATGTACGTTTCACATATATGTAGTCTGAGGTCCTCTTCTAACAGTTCTGCACTTTTTTGGAAGATGACATCTAGCTATGCAGTTAAGGACTCATCCCCCTTGGACTCCCTCATTTCATCAAAAACCTGGCCAACTTGGGAGCCAGCCGGAACTCCGTTCCTGTGCGTTCCTGCTCAGCATTATTAGCAAACCTTAAACCAGACATTTACAGGATAAATTTAAGAGCTGGCTAGAAAAGTAAATTCTAATTGCAGCAGAGCAAGCTGGCTCTAGGGGAGGAAGAGCTGCTATACACCATTGCCCGATCTTACAGCATCTAACTGAAAAATAGTCTAAAACCTTGGTTTCACTCTATGCTGTCTTCACAGATTTGAAAGCAGCCTTTGACTCCATTTCTAGGACTAAATTAGGGGGGGAAATAGAAGTAACATCAATAGATCACAGACTTCTACAAGCTTTTGTAGAAACAATAAAGAATTTAAAAAATAGATCACAGACTTCTTTACTTAATCCATGCCTTACATATTAGCAGCACCCTCAAGGTTAGATGCCATAGGCAAGGGCATTTTACGAACCCAATTAAAACCTCAAAGGGATTTGAACAAGGTTGCAATTTGGTTCCACTGTGTTTGATTTTCTATATCAATAGCATGGTCATATGTTTACGTGACATAGATTTCCACCCTCCTAAATGGATGGATCGTAGGATCTCTGAGTTATTGTATGCAGATGACGCTGTAATTGTATCAAGGACTCTAGTAGAAGAGCACTACAGACGTTTGCCCAATGATGTAGCAAGGACCATTTAGTAATAAATTACCCCAAAAACTAAAATTATGGCATTTTGTACGAGACCTAAAACACAAATATGCAACATAAATGGCCATAACATAGAGAAGGTGGTGAGCTTTAAGTATATAGGGGTTGTATTGCATACCTCTGGCTCAAGGAAAGCCCATTGTGACTATGTACCCAATGCTGGACAAAAATCTGCCCATAATATAATTATTTTTAATGAACTATGGATGGTCAGTCAAGAGGTTCGCTCTGGATTTATCCTTCCCGCAGATGTGGTGTATAGTTAAATGCTAATTATAGACAAAAATCTGCTGGTTCTAGCACAGACTGAGGAGTTTTGTGTGGCAGCTTGTAAAATTTGCCAGATACTGATGGCTTAAGGTTTTACGCATACATATTTTATTTAACATATACTTCCCTTTGAATTATGAACTAATTTATGTGTGGGAGCTAATTTAATTTTTTCTCTTATTCACTGTGGTGGTTGGGAACTTTGTTAAGTCTTGTGCCGGTCTATGGCCATATTAAGGAAGACTTTGACAGTTTCTGTTATCACTGAGCAAGGATTGAGGGGAAGGGTAGTTATTGAATTAATACTAAAAACAGTCAGTGCTGGGTACTGGGAGCAATAAGGGGTTTAGTGTAGTGGTTAAGAGTGTTGGACTAGTCTCTGGAAGACCCAACCATGTGTCCTGATTTAAATGGGATTCAAGCATCCTCAGGACCGTGTCCAAAGTGTACAGTAATCTAATCAATGTATTTAATGATTAATGTATGTCGCTCCAACACACGGGAATGATTTTGCCAATTGTTCTCATTTGCTCTCTAGGGCAATTAAAGGAAGCGATATCCTGAACTGCCGGACCCGACTGACAATGCCTTGCTGCTATTATGCTTTCTGTGCTGCCACCTGAAGCCAACCAAAGGAAACCACTAATCATATTAGTGTAATATTTAGCAAGAATTTGAAATACTTGATTTTGTTGCTTGTATTAAAAAAAAAAGGCTCAGGGCAATAAGAACTGTCCAGTCCTGGAGGATGTCTAAAGCTTTGCAAAAGTAAAAACAAACATAATAGCACTAAAATGTTTTGTGTGATTTTATTTATAGTCTAAGGAAGATAGATAGATAGATAGATGATAGATAGATAGATAGATAGATAGATAGATAGATAGATAGATGATAGATAGATAGACAGACAGATAGACAGACGGACAGATGATAGATAGATAGATACATACATACATACATACATATACATACATACATACATACATACAGGGGTCTTTTCGTAGAAAAAAAGCTGCAGGAGCTCATTAGCACACTCGGCTATTAGCATATTATGCTAATAGCCTAGTAGCTCATTAGCATACCATAGTATGCTAATGAGCCACTAGGCTATTAGCATAATTGGTCATTAGCATATGCAATGCCCCCTGTCATCACCGGAAGAGATGTCAGAAGGGAAAGCAAAAGGGGGGGGAAGGCATCTTCAAAAGCCTCCCCTTCCCTTCCCTGAGAGGGAGGAAGCGAAGAGTTCAGCTGCAGAAGGAGGAAAGAGGGAAGGAAAGAGAGAGAGAGAGGGTAGAGAGAAGGAGGAGGAAAGAGGGAAGGAAAGAGAGAGGGAGTGTGTAGAGAGAAGGAATGAAAGAGTGAAAGAGAAGGAAGGAAAGAGGAAAAGAAAGAGAAGGAAAGGAGGGAAAGAAAGAGCGAGAAGGGAAGAATGAGGGCCCTGGGAAGGTGGCGACGGGCCTCTTCAGGCCTCCCTGGGGCTGCAGCACTCCAGCGCGGGCCCCAGGAAAGCAGTGATGGGCCTCCTCGGGCCTCCCTGGGGCCACAGCGCTCCGGTGCGGGCCCTGGGCAGGTGGCGATGGGCCTCCCTGGGGTCGCAGCACTCTGGCGCGGGCCCCAGGAAAGCATTGACGGGCCTCCTTGGGCCTCCTTGGGGCTGCAGTGCTCCGGCGCTTGCCCCAGGAAGGCAGCGACAGGCCGCAGCATTGGGAGCTGGGGGCAGGGCTTGCTGCCGCCACCATTTTGCCAGCTCCTGGGCTCCCAGAGCGATGCTGTGGCACACTCCAGCCCCAAAAGACCCCTGGATGGATGGATGGATGGATGGATGGATGGATGGACAGATAGATATTTCATCATTGGTGGAACAAGATCAGCTAAGTGATGTTCGATTTGTTGAGGAATTCTGAATTTGCAACCTAGAGGAAAGATAGCAGACAGCAAATATGGGGTAGACTGTGTTTTATTTAACCTGTAACAGATGAACTGCAGCTAATTAAGTCACTCCGTTTCCTTTAGTGCAGGTATATGTATCATCTTTGTTTTATTTGAAGCATTTTATGCTGCCCAATGTAAGGTTCCCATGGTGATTCCCAGAAGGTTACTGAAAAGGTTTGCCAGGATATGAGCAACTTCACCCTAGTTCTAAGCAGAAATATGCCGAAAGATGCCTACTATCAACAGCATTGCCTAATGTCAATTTCCATTGGTATGAAGGTTCAGACATTGATGCCCAGCACAGGTCAGGCCACATTAACTCCTTCTGTTACTGCTCCACATCCATGGGTATCTCAGGATGCTTGCCCACCTTGTCAAGTGGAATCATCCAACCCACACTAGTCCCACTCAACCTTCATTAGAACCCAATATACCTCTCCAAGGACCAGGCCTTTTTTGTTACCTCCAGCTGCGCTCATAGTAGCCCTGTTCACAAATATGCAGACATATGTTTATAAGAAAGAGCCAACATTCATTTACAATACAAATAAAACAGAGATCAATACCAAGATAAATGTGGGGGTTAAACTGCATGTTAACCTGCACATGCACGGAATATAACATGAGAATTATTCAACAAACACATAAAGGAAAATAAAGTGTTCAGTGTATATTGTACATGCATTCAGGGTAACGTGTGAACAGGGCTAGTGTGAAGTAGGTGACTCAAAGGATACTGTTCAGGGCATTCTGAGAAATGACAAAAACTGACCCAAAGTGACCAACTAATCCCATACAAGTGAATGAGCCTGAAATGAAATGGCTGGTGTTAATTAATTAATTTATTTATTATTCAAATTTATATCCCGCCCTCCCCAATGGGCTCAGGGTGGCTAACAATAAGGGCACAAAGCCATAATAAAACAGTTAAAAGTAAAATAAAATAATGCAAAATTACAATAAAGTGCTGGTGCTCTGAAAGTTCATAATTCCAAGATGGGTTCTGGAAGATGGACCCAGAACAATGAAAGAAGTTCCAAGACAACACTGCCTTCCTATCTTCAGCCCAGGGCCATCATGCACCCTGATGGCATCCCCGCACTTAGCGGTAGTGGTGCAGTGGTGGTGCAGTGGTGGCGGCGGCTCCTACTTGAAAGCCTGGCGGAAGAGCTCCATCTTGCAGGCCCTGCAGAACTGCACAAGGTCCCGCAGGGCCCGGATCTCCTCCGGGAGCTCATTCCACCAGGTAGGAGCCGCCACCGAAAAGGCCCTGGCCCTGATCACAGCGAGTTTGACATCCCTGGGGCCTGGGGTAACCAAAAAATGTTGGTCCCCTGACCATAGTGCCCTTGGGGGAACATATGGGGAAAGGCGGTCCCTCAGGTATGCCGGACCCTGGCCATAGAGGGCTTTAAAGGTAAGAACCAGCACTTTGAAGCGAATCTGGTACGCTATTGGCAGCCAGTGCAGCGCCTTCAGCACAGGCTGGATATGGTCTAGTCTAGAGAGACCCCTCAGCAGCCTGGCTGCCACATTCTGCACTAGCTGCAGCTTCTGGATTTGTGACAAAGGCAGCCCCAAGTAGAGAGCGTTACAGTAGTCCTGCCTCGAGGTGACTGTAACATGGATCACTGTGGCCAGGTCATTGCGGTCAAGGAAGGGAACCAACTGCCGAGCCAGCCGAAGATGATAAAAGGCCACCTTTGCAGTGGCTGCTACCTAGGCCTCCATCATTAAAGATGAGTCCAGGAGCACACCCAAACTCCTAACCTTCGATGCTAGCACCAGAGGCGCCCCATCAAAGGTTGGGAGAGGTAGTCCCAACCCTGAACCGACCCGACCTAGGCCCAGGACCTCCGTCTTCGCCAGGTTTAAGTGATGTTATCACCATCACTGGACCTAACAACACCAGTCATACCACCTTAGATTCATTCACTTGTTCATCTTCCAGTTTGATATATTCCATCAGGTTTCAGCAATGTGCTTCCACTCTCAAATTGGATGAACAGGTCTGTCCCTACACAAAAGAATAAATGGATATAAATCGGACATTAAAAATAACAACACTCAAAAACCAGGAGGAGAACATCTGAATCTCCCAAGACATTACATTGCTGATCTAAGAGTGGCAGTCTTCAAACAGAGATGCTTCAAGTGGAGATTACAATGAGACACTGTTGAACTTGAGTTCATTTACAAATTCAGAACAATGCCTGAATAGGGACATAAGATTCTTATCTCACTACGAATAATGATTTTCTGCCCTAAGCATTTCTCCCCTGCTTATACTCCGGAAATCTTCACACCTTTACTTTAGATAGATGATACAAAAATATATGGCATTTAATGTTCATAATTTAGACAACATTCTGAGAAACAAATAGCTCATTCTACAGACATAAAGAAACATTGAACAAGTAGTTTCCCAGAGAATTCCATGTCCTGCTACTGATCTTGCATGGAATGTAGAACTGAAGGAAACTGGACAGAAAAGAGGATTTGACAATAACTGAGATGGAAAAGGGGGCAAGTATAATTCCTCCCCCACTTCCAGGGCTCTTTTTGTAACAGGAACTCCTTTGCATATTAGGCGACACACCCCTAATGTAGCCAATCCTCCAAGAGCTTACAGTAGCCCCTGTAAGAAGAGCTCTGTAAGAGCCCTGCCCACTTCCAACACATCCATTTACCCTGAAAAGATCTGGATCTTACCAGATGATAGTAATATTTGTTATTGCTCTTTTCACCATGCGGCTGGAGACTTCTTAATTCCCCTTGTACAAAGCTCCCCAGTATTATATAGGTGTCGGTATGGTAAAAGCATAGCACAGCATTAACATAAATATACCTAGGCACAGGACTGCAATTCAACAACAACAACAAAAACATTTATTTGAAAGGAAATCATAGCTCATGATGTATTTAAAGATTACAGAAAGAAAACACTTCTTTAAAAGTGTTTGGCAAAGCACAAAAGCTCAAAATATGATTCCTTCAGCCTCAACATGTATTTTCATGAAAAGCTTAATAAAACTTCTAAATAAAACTATTAAATGTAAAACAGTCCTGTGTAACTCAGCTCTTTTTTATATGAGGTTCAAACCTGTAAAGAAAACAAAAACAGCAATCAGTTTGGCTTTTCAGATGCCCAGATTTAATTGATTTACCAGAAAAGAAAAATCAGAATTGATATGACAATTAAAAGATACAACTCAAGACACTTCTAAAAATGACAAAATGCAACCACCCTGTTATGAGATCTCATGGGCATAAAGCTTACTTTTATTCCAGTCTTTCTGTGTTCATATTATATTCCACACTGGAGTCTGCTCTTTGCTCTGTAGGAATAAAGAAGTCAACAAGGAAAAGGGGAACTCAATGTAAGCAAATATTTCCGCCCTACAACTAACTTGGCAAGCACTTCTGAAAAGGCACTTTGAAAATGCCAAGCTCTCTCATTTGGATGGAAGTTAGAATTCTTTTCAGCCGATAATAGGAGGAATGGAAGTCCAGCTTCCAATCACATAGAGACAGGGGCATGGACTTTCCATTTTTTTGGGGGGGAGGACTGGGGCTATGCTAAGTCCTTAAAAGAACTGGGGCCCAGTGACATCATAGGGAGGAGCCAGTGACATCACAGACCA